ATTATCCTAGTAACGATCAATGTCAAGTAAAGATTAAACCAAGCTGTATAGTATCCTAGTAACGATCAATGTCAAGTAAAGATTAAACCAAGCTGTATAGTATCCTAGTAACGATCAATGTCAAGTAAAGATTAAACCAAGTTGTATAGTATCCTAGTAACGATCAATATAAAGTAAAGATTAAACCAAGTTGTATATTATCTTAGTAACGATCAATATCTATTGATCGTTACTAAGATAATACACAGCTTGGTTTAATCTTTACTTAATATTGATCGTTACTAAGATAATACACAGCTTGGTTTAATCTTTACTTTTAAGTAAAGATTAAACCAAGCTGTGTATTATCTTAGTAACGATCAATATTAAGTAAAGATTAAACCAAGCTGTGTATTATCTTAGTAACGATCAATATTATGTAAAGATTAAACCAAGCTGTATATTATGTAAAGATTAAACTAAGTTTCATATTACTGTGTGATATGAGAAGCACTTCTTTAAAATCACAGAAGCTGAAAGTTTATGTAGTTATTGATTATATCATTTGGTTAATTTGTCCTTTAATTGCAGTTAACTGGACAACCGGTATTGATTGGTGGGACTATGGGCACCTGTAGTTATGTGCTTACTGGAACAGAGCAGGGAATGCAAGAGACTTTTGGTACCACATGCCATGGAGCAGGAAGAGCTCTGTCTCGAGCCAAGTCGCGGAGAAACCTGGACTACCAAGATGTTCTTGACAAGCTTGCCGAGATGGGAATTTCTATCAGGGTAGCATCACCAAAACTTGTGATGGAAGAAGCCCCGGAATCATACAAGAATGTGACTGATGTTGTGAATACTTGTCATGCAGCTGGAATCAGCAAGAAGTGTATAAAACTAAGACCTATTGCTGTGATTAAAGGATAATTGTAAAAATGATCTTATCAAGGAAATAGTTACAAATACTTGTAAGAATGGATCACGAAGTACCTCTTAAAGATCTACAACTGTATCTTTTATTTTCATGTCTCAAGAGGAATTAAGACTGAGGCTGTTCTTTATATTAAAATGCTAATTTTCAGTTGTCAACTAAAGAAAGTAATGTTTATTTTATATAGCAATAGAACCTACAAGTTAACTCTAACACTTCTTTGAGAAAAAAATAAATTTTATTTACTTTCACACTTTTCCAAACTCAAAGTATTGAGAAATATAATAAAATAAATTAATATAAAGTAAGATTTCTGCCCAAAGGTTTGTGTACGTATTTTATAAACAGCTCTGAACCTGAAAAAATAAATCAGAATATCCATACAGACTTGTACTATTCAAACAAACCAATTGTGTTAGTATCTATAGACTTGTACTGTTCAAACAAACCAATTGTGGAAGTATCTATAGACTCTTACTGTTCAAACAAACCAATTGTGGTAGTATCTGTAGACTTGTACTGTTCAATCAAACCAATTGTGGAAGTATCTATAGACTCTTACTGTTCAAACAAACCAATTGCAGTAGCACTTTATATAATCTTTTTAATTTAATGTTCATAGCGAATGTATTCCAATTCTTGATCGTGCCATCCATATTTTATCTTCCCTTATGTAAATGTATCACGTGCATGTTTTGTCTATAATTTCCTTGTTAGCTAGTCAGCATGGGTTTGTTGCATATTAAAAACAGAGATATAGAACCATAGGATGTGGTGGTGCTACTTCAGCGCTAGGTTATACGTTTTGGTCTAAGAGTGAAGTTCATTATTTTTTAGATTGTCTTGCAGATCTATCATATCTCAAAAGAGAACAAGTTATTATAAACAGCAGCAAGTTTTTCAAGTTAACTTGTGTGACTACTATAAATAATGAACGAGTTTTCAAGTTAACTTGTGTGACTACTGTAAATAATGAACGAGTTTTCAAGTTAACTTGTGTGACTACTGTAAATAATGAACGAGTTTTCAAGTTAACTTGTGTGACTACTGTAAATAATGAACGAGTTTTCAAGTTAGCTTGTGTGACTACTGTAAATAATGAACGAGTTTTCAAGTTAGCTTGTGTGACTACTGTTCATTATTTACAGTAGTCACACAAGCTAACTTGAAAACTCGTTCATTATTTACAGTAGTCACACAAGCTAACTTGAAAACTCGTTCATTATTTACCAGTAGTCACACAAGCTAACTTGAAAACTCTAAATAATGGATGAGTTTTCAAGTTAGCTTGTGTGACTACTGTAAATAATGAATGATTTTCAAGTTAGTTTGTGTGACTACTGTAAATAATGGATGAATTTTCATGTTAACATGTCAGCATAGATGCTTTCAATTTAGCTTATGGCTATAATAACAGCAGTTTTAAAGTTAGCTGATTTGGCAGCACAGATGTTTTAAAAGGTTAGAGGAATTTTCAAGTTAGCTCATGTGACTTAACAGCAAAACACCATTAATGCTTCTTATTTTTCATATACTGTATTAAAACAGTTTAATTGTTTTGAAGGGAAGTATAGAGTTAAAACCGCATAGGCGACAAAGATATCGAAATTAAAGAATAGGTTGAACAATCTCCACGTTTTTTGTAATAATTTTATTTAAAGATGGGTGACGTTTAGAGCTAGCGCACTTCGTCAGCAACACAAGTACATATCAAATGCATGTTTAATTACGTTACACATTAGTTTCACGAGAAGTAATGAAAATGTACTTTATATTATAACCTACTTTAATAATCTGTTGATTTATGTAAAGTAACTTGATTTGTTATATTGGTTCAAATATCTAGTGTGCACGTTCTATAAACTTGGGATACATAGTCACGTGCAAATAATATTAGTGCTTCCGTTCTGTACAGGAGACGTTACATCGATAAGTGTAGTTACATATACGCATCATAAGTGGCAGGCAACAACTTGGTATGGATCATTATAAGTCGCACCTAACACCTTGGTACAGACTAAAATGTTACATCCGTGCACATGCTAGCTATCCAGTGTTGCCAACATATACGTACTAGTCACCCTAGTACGTTTCAATTAACTTGTGTGAAATTTTACTTACTGTAACAAGAAAGTAACTAATGTTCTTAATCTTTTCATAAAACTTTATAATATTTACTAATATATATTAGAATAAAAATGGGAAATCAAACTTACATTTTCTGACATTAAGGTCTCCATGGGAAATAAAATATTCTAATTATGTTTTGTATTTTGCAATACCAATACTTTAGTAGATGTGTGACAGTTCATTTTTCAGAATTACTGTAATTGTTGCCAAAGCACCCACCAAATGTTTAGTTACCTGATTTGAGATACTGGTAGAGATGAAAGATTCGATTTCCAGGAGATGTTAGAAGACGTAAAATAATGATAAACTCACAAAAGAGAATAGCTATGGTGAAAATTTTATCTGAGAATATCCTATAGTGCTGGTGGACAATGGTCAACCAGGTATACCTGACACTTGAAGCAGAATACATCTAACACTTGAAGTGACTCGCACATCATTGGGGAACACCATGTATGTGTTAGCTTTATATATAAGGCTCGAATTCTTTACATTAGGTGTCTGGAACTTATTGGCGATATATTTCAACAATAAACAGACAGCACACAATCCACTTGTTTTAAAATAATATATTCAAAACAAGCCAAACGTATGAACAAAACTTTGTTACATTATTGGTTATTACAATTGTATCCATAGCTTGAAATAATTGCCTTTTTTTTTCTCGTCAAAGTCCACACAGGCGGGTTCAATTACTTTAGAACACCCTTTGACAAGACAAATATTCGTTTCTATCCCTGTTGTTAACAATATGTTCAAGTTAAGAGTTATTATTTAGAGATTCAGTATTTAATTATTATTTAGTTTTCATAACAAGTGTTAAAAGTTGAATACTTTAAAAGCGATAGCTATGACAAGTTTCATTACATAACTCTCTTCGTGTCGCACATTGTATATGTACTTTAATTGTTGTACTAGGCTTCTGTAATATTGTTGAGATCATCTTACTCGAAGCTTTTTTTGTCGTGTGTAGTATTGTTGTTACTAGAAGGCTAGATATTTCTATCATGTGTTACAAATACGTGAAGATACAGAGAGGAAGTTAGACTGCGTGCGAGTTTAGCCCTAATAGACGATTTCCAAAGTGAATTTCACAGCTTGTTATTGTACCAGATTTTTTAGTTGCTTAGCTTTTTGTATCCATACATGACGGATGATTGCCAGAGATCAGATATGACTGAAGGAAATCTCCAGTTGTATATATTACTTTCTGGTGTACTGGAGCTCCACGTTCTTTTCCTTATTATCTAGTTTATCATATACTTCCTTCCTCCAACTCATCTCCGTTATCAGACAGACTTCCATACAGTCAGTATTTTAATATGTTCTTGCTGATCTAAAGTTTCAGTTTATTCATATACCAAATACAAGTCTGTCTTCACATAGATAAAAAATCTGGCTAAGTCTCTTCTGTCCAATTAATTGGATGGTGGATGCATGAGTCACACCCATTCTCTTCTGTTGAATAATGTGATCTCACGTCCTTCTCAATATGTACATACTGTTGAATAGACAAGACCATCCATGATCAACTGGATTTATCACTAATATTGTAAAAGAAAGCCAATAAAACAGGCCTATAAGCCAGCCAATGTTGAAAAGGGAATGCCCCCTTGTTCCCTGGCTGCTAAGATCTAGATTTGGCAGCACAACTTGAACATTGAATGTCCATTTGGCTGCTAAGATCTAGATAGGGAGGCAGATGTGGATGGGGAGTTTCTGAGCTACCAGTGATAGATAATGTGTGAAAGGTGTAGACTGATATACTGGTAACATGAAATAAATTGTTTGAGGTAGAAGACAATGAGATGCCCATGAAAGAGTTACTTATGACTGTGGCGAAAATATTACACAAGTAATGTAACTAAAAAGGATAGAAAAGAAGGACAAAAACAAAGCATATTTAAAAAATAATTTCTAATATAGCAACCTTTAACCTTCGTATTACATGAGCTATTTTGTCGTTAATTTATTTCATTTAAACGGTATAAAACCGCAAGCGATGCTTGTGTTTCGAGAGTCCAATTGGTTTCTATGTTACGAAACTAGTTTTGCTGGGTAATAATGGTATTTTTACGACAGCGGAAATCACGTGACGCTGGGAACATGCGTGGTGAATTTCTCGCATAATCGGGGAACTCCGCGAATGAAGAATGTTAGCATATAAGCCTGGCAGAGAAAAGCCAAGAGTGAAGCGAAAAGTAGTTACAGTGAGTTTCTGGTAATTTAGGATTCTGTTTCGAGCTACTGTGTGTTTGCACTCGTAGAGAGCGAAGTTATCGAGATTGCGAATCGCTGTGATTTATAGCATGTATTATAACAGTTCTTAAGTGTATTTTCCTTCCTATGACATCTAGAATAACTGTTCAACCGCAGATAGCGATTATTTCAGTTTAAACCCAACACAATGAATTCTAGCTGTTATTATTCATCCACGTTCTTCAAGTACTTCCTGTGAGAAACTTAGTTCCTTTTCTAACCACAGGCGCCGATCTTGCCAGTAGAGGGGTGGGGGCATTTGAGAAAAAATATCTGACGACATATTAATAATAAAAAAAAAAGTCCACGATGATCAGCAGAGGAGGACGTTTCAAAGTGTTAAAGGTGTACAGGTACCTCAATGTCGACACTTATAGTTTTAACCACAGACAACTAAATATGACTAAAAAATTAAGTCGGTAGGTAAAATTTGCTACGCTATTTACTCAGGTATTAGTTGTTTTTCTTTTCTGTTATGCTCAATCTAATTTACTTGATTTGATCAGAAGTTATTCATTCCTATTTATCTTCAGAAGAATTTTACCTTTTTTATCGTCTAGAACTTCCATGGTTCCTTCCCAGATGGCAGTAGTTTCATCATTTGCAGTTCTACATCTATTCTGTCTAAGATTGCAGTCTTCAGATCTATAGACACCATAGCCGTATGATTTAGTTTGTTTGAAGTTAAGCACAAAGCTACACAATGGGCTATCTGTGCTCTGCCCACCACGGTTATCGAAACCCGGTTTCTAGCGTTGCAAGTCCGCAGACATACCGCTGTGCCACTGGGGGGCCCATAGCCGTATGAATCAGAACATAGAAAACTTACTGTAACTGATATTTGGGATAACGCAATAACAACATTACAGTAGTATATTTATGCATGTATACTTATATAATCCCACTTTAAGTACTCTTAGTCATATAGAAAACAAAAAGATATAGCCAGGGAGTTTTTTTTTTCTGAATAGGGGAAATGACGTGTTTTGGTTTCCCAATAACAACAAAAAAAA